CCATGATGATAATTATTATTTAATAGATATGTATGAAAAATGAACGGAGAAAGTAAAGTGTTGGTGGCAATAGATTTAAATCAAATGGAACACTAGAGTGAATATAGCATGAACATATATTTTCATCTTCCTTGTTCATTGACTATGTATTTTTCCATATAATTTTTCTTTATGTCACAAGACACACTCCTTACAAGCTATATAAAACTAGATAAGAAAATAGTGATTGATCGTAAAATGATCTTAAATCAAATTATTGATTCTATAAATACTACTTTAAATTTTATTATTGAAATTTTTAATATTTTATATCATGATACAACTTCTATTTCTACTATATACATTCATTAGACAACAAATTATATATGATATGTATGCGGCAGAAAAAAGGAGAAGACTACAATTCCACAAAGATAAGGTAGAAACTTAATGAAATGAAATATTTTTCACCATAGATGATGTTATTCATATATTAAAATTAAATTATTCTACTGAAGTATATATAACCATCATTCATGATAACAACCTAGTACACTTTTTTGGTAAAATTACCTCTCTATGATAGCCTTACTCAAATATTAATTAAGTAATAATATTATAAAAAAATATGTTACATATAAAGATAAAATATTGAAATACTTATGGTTATCCTTATTAGTGTCATGCACATACTAAATTTCAAGTATGAATATTTAAGACAAAATTTGTACTTAAATGATGTACATCATTTATGTTCATAACCTCAAGAGGAAAGTCTATTGGTGACATTTTTTGAATGAATATTTTTTTTCTATTTTTTTTGTTAGATTTGTTTATAAAATTGAGTGAAGTAAGAAATAATATTATTAAAGAAATGTCACTTTCTCCCATATTTAAACTTTGAATGTATTTTGAAATGTTTAAATGATATTTGGTCATTTTGATCTCAAAATTTAAGTAACTCTATGACAATATGTATTAATAATTTAAAAACACTTGTCCTATGTCCATTCAATTATAATTATCTACTAAAAATATTTTAATTTAGTAATATTTTAATTCTATTTTACAAACATCATATACTATATATACGATACGCACGTGCAACGTAGGTGCCGTAAAACTTGTAAAATAAAAATGAGAGACAAGAGAGAGTTGATCGGATGGTAAGCACTCCTTACTTCCAACATAAGGTTGTGAGTTCAATTCCCCAAGAAAGCATATGTGGGAGCTCCTGTGGATGGGTTAAAAAAAATTGAGATGGGCACAGGAAAATTAACTTTTTTTATAATAATAAATTTGTCCCTAATTAATACATTTAAGAACAAAATAATTTTATATATATAAAATATAGTCATTAGTGACGAAATTAGATTTTGTCGAACTACGAAATACATATAACTTTAGAGACAATTGATGTCGTCATTGATTGAAGTAAAATAGTTAGCGACAAAATTGAGATGGGCACAGGAAAATTAACTTTTTTTATAATAATAAATTTGTCCCTAATTAATATATTTAAGAACAAAATAATTTTTTGTATATAAAATATAATCATTAGTGAAGAAATTAGATTTTGTTCAACTACGAAATACATATAACTTTAGAGACAATTGATGTCGTCACTATTGAAGTAAAATAATTAGCGACAATATAATTTTGTCGGTAGTAATAACCTTTTTAGTGACAAAGCAAACTATTAACTACAAAAAATATATACTTTTTACGACAAAGAAATTTTTCACAAATGTTTAAGCATTTGGGGAAGATTCTTCTTTTTGTAGTTAATATAATACTTTTGGCGACGAAACACTAAATCATTTTTGTATAATTTTAGCGACACATATTTAGTGATGACTGATTGAAGAATTATTTTTCCTCTCACAAGACTTTTAGTGACGAAATATGATTTATAAATGACGAAATTATTTGTCCCTCATAATCGAATTTGTTGTAGTGCAAGTAGATCCCTCTACGGACTAACTCCTCCACAAAACCTTCACTGAAGCGACTTCTTTATTTCTCAACCTACGAACCTGACAGTCAAGAATCTCAACTGGCACCTCTTCATAAGTGATGCTATCTTTCACAACCACACTCTCTAATGCCATTATTGATGCTAGATCACCCACACACTTCTTCAACAAGGAAATGTGCAAGACTGGATGAACCGCTGCTAGTTCTGCTGGTAACTCTAACTCATAAGCCACATTACCAACCCTTTTCAAGATTTTGTAAGGACCTATATATCTAGGACTGAGCTTCCCTTTATTGACAAATCTCATCACCCCTTTCATAGGTGACACCTTCAGGAAAACCCAATCATCGATCTCAAACTCTAAGTCCCTTCTCCTTACATCTGCATAGGATTTCTGACGACTCTGAGCTGTCTTGAGTCTATCTCTGATGAGCTGAACTTTTTCCATAGCCTCATGAACCAAATCTGGCCCAATCAATACTGCTTCACCTACTTCAAACCAACAAATCGGGGACCTGCATATACGCCCATATAGTGCCTCATACGGGGCTATCTGAATATTGAAATGATAACTGTTATTATAGGTGAACTCTATGAGAGGTAGGTGATCATCCCAACTGCCCTTGAAATTGATGTCCTCTAAGGTCTGAATGATACATTATGCTTGACCATCCGTCTGTGGATGAAATGTAGTGCTGAGATTTTCCTGAGTACCAAGACTTTTCAGAAACGATTTCTAGAAATAAGAGGTAAACTGAGGACCTCTGTTTGATATGATAGACAAGGAACCCCATGCAACCTAAATATCTCATTAATGTACAGTTTGGCATAGTCCTCCGCTGAATCTGTAGTCTTGACAACCAAGAAATGAGCGGGACTTAGTAACTCTGTCTACTGTCAACCAAATAGAGTCATGTTGTCTGCGAGTACGAGGTAAACCCATAATGAAGTCCATGTTTATCACTTCCCACTTCCATGTAGGAATGTTAATCTCTTGAGTCATACCTCCTAATTTCTAATGTTCTACCTTAACCTGTTGACAATAAGGGCACTTAGCCACAAAGTTTGCTATATCCCTTTTCATACCATTCCACCAAAAGACTTCCCGTAGATCACAGTACATCTTAGTGACCTGGATGGATAGAATACGTGGACTTATGGGCTTCTGTAAGGATCTTCTGCCTCAACTCACCCACATAAGGAACACATAAGTGACCCTGGTAACGAAGTACACCATCTCCCCCTTCGGAGAAAACCTCAACTTTCTGCTGTAGAATTGCACCCTCCAACTGAAGCAATATAAGATCACTATCTTGTTTTTCCTTAACCTCCGCTACCAAAGAAGATTTAGATCTATTCTGAACTATCACACCACCATCTGACATGTCCGTAAGGCCAACTCCTAAGTGAGCAATCCGGTGAACATCTTTTGCTAATTCATTCCTTTCTTCCTCAACATGTGCTACACTACCCATAGATAGTCTGTTGAGAGTATCAACTACTACATTGGCCTTACAAGGATGGTAAAGAACATTCATATCATAGTCCTTGTGAGGAACTCAAGCCATCTCCTCTGACGAAGATTCAACTCTTTCTGAGTGAACACATATTGGAGGCTCTTATGATCTGTGAACAAATCTACGTGAACACCATACAAGTAATGTCTCCAAATCTTTAGGGCAAATACTACGACTGTAAGCCCGAGGTTATGAGTCAGATATTTCTTCTCATAGACCTTAAGCTGTCTAGAAACATAAGCTATAACCTTACTTTGCTGCATCAACACACAACCTATGCCGACTCTGGAAGCATCACAATAAATCACATAACCGTCTGAACCATCTAGTAGAGTCAAAATGGGAGTTGTAGTCAACCTAGTTTTCAGTTTTGAGAATCTCCTCTCACACTCATCTGACCACTGAAACTTAACCTTTTTCTGAGTCAACTTGGTCAATGGGGAAGCTATGGTTGAAAATCCTTCAACGAATCTTTGGTAATAACCAGCCAAACCCAAGAAACTCCTGATATATGTTGGAGAGGTGGGGATGGTCCACTGCTTCACTGCCTCTATTTTTTGAGAATCCACTTGGATCCCTTCGCTAGATACTACATGACCAAGGAAAGCAACTGACTGCAACCAAAACTCACATTTGCTAAACTTAACGAATAACTGGCGATCTTTGAGAGTTTGCATAACAACTCTCATATGAGTCGCATGCTCCTCCTCATTTCGAGAATAAATGAGGATATTGTCAATAAAGACAATAACGAGCAAATCCAAATATTGTTTGAACACCCTGCTCATTAAGTCTATGAAAGCTGCAGGAGCATTTGTTAGTCCGAAAGAAATAACTACAAATTCATAATGATCATACCGAGTTCTCAAGGCTATCTTAGGAATGTCACTATCTCTGACTCTGAGTTGATGATAGCCAGATTTGAGTTCTACCCTCGAGAAATAAATAGCACCCTGAAGTTGGTTGAACAAGTCATCAATCTTGGGGATAGGGTATTTGTTCTTGATTGTGACTTTTTTCAACTGCCGATAGTCTATGCACATCCTGAAAGAACCATCTTTCTTTTTCACGAACAATACTGGAGCATCCCATGGAGAGATACTAGGTCTGATGAAGCCCTTCTAGAAGGTCTTTCAACTATTCTTTCAATTCCTTAAGCTCGGCTAGAGCCATTCTCTAAAGAGGAATCGAAATAGGCTGGGTATTTGGAAGGAGATCAATTCTGAAGTCAATTTCCCTTTCGGGAGGAACTCCGGGAAGATCTTCTGGAAATACTTCTGGAAACTCAATTACTACTCGAATTGACTCAATAGTTGGGGTTTTAGAGCTTGAATCCTTAACCCGAACTAGATGATAGATATACCCTTTAGATATCATCCTTCTAGCCTTAAGGTAATAGATAAATCGACCCATATGCATTGAGCTACTACCCTTCCATTCTAAGACTGGCTTGTTTGGAAACTGAAACCGAATGATCCTAGTTCTACAATCGACTGAGGCATAACAGAAATGTAACCAATCTATTCCTAGAATGATCCAACAATAGTGTTAGTAGGAACTGGACCTACTGATTGTTCTGGTTGCCTATACTCTGAGCCAAGAGTCACATTCTGAAACTCTACATTCGTAACTTCATGGTTTGGGACTACATGAACTGCATTAGCGTTGCGTGCATTAGGATTCCATGCGTAAAATCTATGAGGAGGCATGATCTGAAACACATAACAAAGGATTAGAATGGAGAAATTGGATCATACCTCACACACGACAAGAGTAGCAAGGAGAGTAAAGTTTTTCTTAAAACACTTCGCAGCCTCCTTCTCATTAGTTATGGTGCACTTCACACCCATGAAAGAGATTCTACTTAGTGCGACATTCAGAAATCCTAGGACTCTTAAACCTAATGCTCTGATCCAAGTTTGTCACGCCTCGAGGCTACCCTATTGACGTAAACACAGGACCTAGGATCACGAGTGATCCCAAGCTAACCCTGTAATGGCGTATCATAAGCATACTAAAACAACTGAATAAAGGATACTATGCGGAAGCTTAAAACAATAGTTAACTGAATGTGGGGAATACCCAAATACTTGTCTGAATATATATAAAACTACTAAGAATTTAGTGATAGTGAACAATCAGTCAAAAACTAAAGTTGAATCTAATACTATGTTTGAAAAAGCCTCTATTGACTAAAGTTGCTGGGACATGCCCCCAACTAACTCTAGCAAAATCTGAAATATTGAAATAAAAGACTAAAATAGAAGCATGTCTATTGTCTTCGGAGAATGAGGACTCACCAGTGAAACTGCTGAATACGGACCGATAAGTCGATCTAAGTGTGATCTGGATACAGAGTACCTGAACCTACATCATGAAAGGATGTAGCGCAGAGTATGCGTCAGTACTTGGAATGTACTGAACATGCATGATATGGATAATAGCTGAACAAACATATAAGATGAACAAAACATATACTGAGCAGTGACATAATTTGAACAGAATAGTAATACTGAAATGAACTGAATTGAATGCAATGACTAAGTACTGATTATCAATATAACATGCAGAGACTGAATACTAAAGTATAACTGAAAACCTGGTCAAATGCACTAGAGTCTGACTGTGGGAGCTACTACTAACCGACATAAAACCACGTGAGCTAACCGTGGAGTCCAATGTATACTCCCCATCGAGAGGACCCAATATACCTTGCCAGGGGTATAAAGGCATGATTGGCGTGATCACTAAATCTGATGCCCACAAAGGGGACTTATAATCCTATGGGGGTACGTAGTTCTGGGACTATGAGCGTACGCTGAACCCTTGTCCAACTCGATGCTAAGCCTACTCTCGCCTGGAAATGTGTATAACACAACATAATTGAAATACTGGAGAGCTTAATATTCTGACATGCAAATATGAGAATGCAACATTTAAGAACTGACAATGTAACATTCGAAACTGGAGCATATATATCTGTTTAACTAACCTAGAAAGTGTAATTAATGAACTAAAAGAATCTACACCACTAGGGTTCTGAAATTTCACGCAAAGAACTAAGCAACGATTTCACGAAAACATGATAATTTAATTTGGAACACTATAACAACTATATCACAACAATTCTTCAAGGTTTTAGAAACCCTAGGTCTAAACAAAATATCAAGGATCAAGAATCTGACTGAATTTTAGAAACCTAGTGGATGAAAGGAACCCACTAGTGAAATCCCACATACCCGATGACAAAATATATGGAGAATTCCTTTGATTTCAGGACAAGAACTGAAGAAAGCCTTTTGCATTCTTGGAAGGGCTTGGTCGACCCTTTTCTCCTCTTTTGCTCTATGTTTGATGAATTTTTGGTGAATGAATCGCTTAGGGTAAAGTCTGACTAGAATACTAGGCTAAAATTGAGTGAAACGACGTAGTTTAGCTGTAAAACGATGTACTTTAAATGTCCAAAGCATAGGGGAAAAAACCAAAACAACCATAACTTAAAAGGTGATGAGGCCATCGATGGGCCTGACCGACGGACTGTAGGTCGACTGATGGTCCATCCTGTCAGTCATCATTTGGCTTCAGAAAGTAGGTATTAAGGGTCATGATCCACAGACCTGGACCACAGACCGTTGTCCCACCTATGATTTGTAGGTCCCATCGTGGGTCATGACTTTTCTAAGAAACTGGGTAACTGACCTACGAATCACACCTACGGTCTGTAATCCCACACACGAGCCGTGGATGGCCTCCGTCGGTGGCACCTGTAGGTTTCTCAAAAGTCTTTTATTTGCTCATTTTGAATCTAGGGTGTTACATTCATCCTCAAGTTCATTTCTGAGCCAAGTAAATTTGGCACATGAGATTTACTACCACATGGGTTAGACCTCACAAAAAATATAACTTTTCAATATGTATATATTATGAATGGAGGATCCGTAGCTCTGTTTATGGGTTCATGAGATAATTTATCAAACTTTACTCAAACTCAATTATATAGTTATAAATTTAATTGTAAATTCAGTTATTCATATCCATTAATATTAAAATATTATAAGAATCCATAAACTTCAATTCTCGAATCCACCTTTATTTATTATCACCAACATATAAGATTATTCTTTGTAAAACTTTCAACCATATGAGCTGTCACAACCCGAGCCTACACCCTGGATGTGGCCAGCACTCGAGAACAATTGCTGGCCCTTAAGAGAATTCTTATCCTGGCTAACTACAAGAGGAAGAATAACTCAAGCATACATAAGCATCAAATTGAAAGAAACGTTTAAAAATAGTACATTGAATATCAAAACTTCACTGAATATACTGAGTATGAAACATAAGTTTTAAATAAAATATCTGAAACTGAAAGACTCTCCAAAACTGTCTATCTATGAAACCTCTATTGTATAAAGATGAGTGTCGGGACAAGACCCACTACTCCTCAAGAGAACTACTACTAACAACTCATAAAATTGGAGTCCTCTAGAAGCAAGGAGGTCTTACTAAAAAATTAACGAGCAGATGAAGTGATTTCAACAGACTCTTGTGATCCTAAGAATTTGTATCTGCATCATTAAAAGATGTAGGTCGAATGACATCAGTACATTGAATGTACGAGTATGTAATATAACTGAATAACAAACAACTGAATGAAAGAACTATATATATATATATATATATATATATATATATATATATATATATATATATACTCAACTGGATGTAAAGAAATAAAGAAGTGAAATCATTAAAACTTAACAAAATACCTACTCATCTCTGAACTCGACATATTAAGTTATATAATAAAAATACAGTTTTAACTCTATTTGGGAGATTCTGTAACCAAAAATCATCACTATGAGCTACGTGATGATACCTCATCTCGCCCATGCATCCAGAACTGTCATATACCTTGCCGGAGTATAGAACACCTCAACTAAGTGGATCCACTAAGCTCTGCTTGAAGGCACTTAGGATTCATCTAAAAAGTATGTTCCTGTACCCATGTTGGCATACATGGTTTATGAGGAATGTGAGTTCTATGAACTCATCTCCATATCAATGCTCAGTACTACTCCCAATAATATATACTCATGCTCAATGTTTAAAAAAACTTACTCTTCCTCAGGTTTGAGATAATTGCTCAAACTATCCTCTTAAAAGAGGTAACTGCTCTTGAAATATCTTTGAACTGATAACTCATTTACAAATCAAAGTTTCTCTTTTATCAATGTAAAAATTGATACCTTTGGAAATACTTAGTTCCCTTATACTCTTTCTCAATTCATATTTGTAAACTCTTTCTCTAAAATATATCAAAATCATATTGTGATATGATCATTGATGACTCGGGTAATCATACTACATAAACATTAATGGCATAACTAGATACCATACTGCTTAAACATTGATGGCATACACGATTGTCATACTAATAATGTTTTAGAAACTCTTTCTCAAAACTCATCTTTACTTTCTCAAAAACTCAGTTTAAAACTCAAGTGTTGGCTTTAAAAAGCTTCTCAAGATTTATAACTCAATTTATAGGGTTCATGCGGAATTATGGACATGAACGACTCAACTTAGGAATCTTAATAGCAATATGGAAACTCAGTACTCAGAACTCAACAATACTACTCATCAAAAAAATACTCAATTCATATGGTTCATGCTGAAATATAGACATGAACGAATCAACTCAAGAATCTTAATGCATGACATATAGAAATTCAATAAGTAGGAATAGAATTTAAAAAATAAACATGAATTCAAGAACTCAAAATCAACTTATCTCAAGAATACTCAAATCTAGGGATAGAACCCAAGATTACTCTTTTAGTGATTTTAAAGTAGATGTAGGGCGTGAGGATGAACTAGTCCAACACTACGATAGACTTACTTACCTGGAAGAACAAGGTTCTTGAAGAATCTTGAAGAAGAACTTGATTAGAAGCCTTGAAATCCTAACTTGAAGGTAAACAATCAAGAAAACCTTTCTTGAGATTATTGAATTAGTTTTTTGAAATCTCTATGGCCAAGAATTATGATTTTCATTAGTGATTCATAATTGTATGGAGAAATTTGAGTTGGAAAGAATGGAATTCTTGGAGAAAGAGTTAGCTTGAAGAAGAATCTTGAAAAAGATGGAAAAAATCTTGAATGGAGTCTTCTATTTTGATTTTTCCTTAGGGTTTTACCTTAGAGTTTGAGAGAGAAGAGAATGGGGGATTAAGAGATGAAAATATAATTGTTTTGAGCCTTTAATTAGTTAAGAAATTCGTTTAGGGTTTTATTAGAGGTAAAAAGACAAAACCGACCCTTTTTAATGTTTTCCCATCGGCAATTCGTCACTACATTGTATCAGGTAACTAAAATGGTCATAACTTTTTACTCGAAAGTCGGATTGACGCGAAATTGGTGGCGTTGGAAAGAAGATTCAATATCTTTAATTTGATAGGTTATGGGCCACGTAACTCTTTATATTCTAAGATATATGGTCGTTTAAACTTGATCCAAGTAAAAGCTTACATCAAAACGTAATCGGTAAGAAAACTTTCAACGCAACTTTTTGCTAGGAGTTTTTAGTGACCTTAATTGATATCCAAAATCATTCCCACACTAAAGAATTTACCTTAACACATATGGAAAATTTAAGAATCACCTGATATGACCCTACAAGTAAATGAAGAATAGTTCGGGTGTTAACTTA